CTGCGACGAGAAGATGGTCGATTTTACAACTGGTCGCTCGTGAGCTTGTTGTTCGTACGTTGAATATACATGCTTGTATATTGCTTCCAGACATAAGTCACGAAGCTACGTACGGAAATTAAAAGAATATCTATTTTAGATTATATTTAATTTTAATGCTTAACACTATTTTGAATTTTATGCAAAGTGGTCTTTCAAAGTTGATTTTCAAAGGTGACATTGAATGTCTACAACTCAGAATGTCACAGCATTGTAGGTATAGTAAAATAACTACCTATAGACTAACTGCTATTTCTGCTGACCAGAAGTGAATCAACGACGATTACATCTCATCAGCACATGGTAGCTTAGCAACCAGGGAAATCTTGAGTCTGAAACTCGGCTATGTACGTATAAAATGGAGACGGCACCTGAAGTTTTCAACCGAATGTTTGTGACAATTGCATTATCGATTATCTCGCCCAATGACATTATACTTCAAACCATTGGAATGACGTCAATTTAGTTGTCGCGCATGCGCACTGTCTCTGTTCGTTTAATTCCCCGAGTGTGTAGTGCAGTGCGTAGATACTATCAGCGAGCTCTGTTTGTACTCTTTCTACTATACAATTGTATGTCAATATCTGTAGTTTTTAGATTTAGAAGCTTTGCTGAGTTCTCCGACATTATGGCACTGTTTCATTTGGGAACAGGTTTTCACAATTCTACAACGTCGCGTGTTCTTCGTTAAGACAGACGATACAAAACAATTCAACAATATTCACAACACTTTGCACTTAAAAGCACCCACTTAAAAAGCATAATTACTAGTATATATATGGCGCACTTAGGGTTTCAGTTTTTTTTCAAAGATAAATACAAAAACGCTCTCAAATCGGCAATAGTTGTCATACTGTCATAAATACATATACGCCTCAACTACGTATGTATAAAGCCACATTTAGGCACTCGCTGCTAGTCTAGCCCTTTAAACACGGCGTTGTCAGAACGTGTTTATATTTGATCCTGCCATAGCAAAAAGGGGTAGTCGCTTAAAAACGATTACACTAAATACGCATGCGTACAAAAGCGATAATCTAACTCAGTATTTAACCAATCAGACATGCAACAGAGATTTTTACAGAAAAATTGAGTTTCTGGTTGGTTTGTGTGTGGTTCATCAGTTGAGTGTAAAACAGTGTGAAACAAGTTGCTGTCCGTGCACCTCATTTTGCTATAGCAGGACTAATGGCGAGGGGGGCAGTATTTGAAAGGACAGCTGACCACCAAATGTGAATAACACCCACTCTGACGACGCCGTGGATCTAGCGCTAACGCCACGCATGATCATTAAGCGCAAGTCATCATCGAACCATTCCATAACGCCATCAATATAATGATAGAGCTGTCACTTGATGGCGCTGTGCACGTCACGTGATGCCGGCCCGTTTATAACTAGACTAAGTTCATCCCCATTAAATCAAACAAGTTGATTTATCCTACACACAACTAGGGGAGTATGACACTCCCTAGATAGTTACATTTCCACTGATACTCATGCATTACGACTACCAAACACAAACAAAAACGACAGACTATTCATTAGGAGAGCGAATTCAGTTTAGTACCCGGGTCTCAACTGATGATTACAATCGAATGAGTGATGATCACATTAAAGGAGCACATTTCAGTCGCGTTCAGCGTCTCTCAGTGATTGTAAAACAGCGACAGTTCCATTTGGGAGGCAGTTAATATTAGTTACACTCGCCTTCTTTCGCGTTTTTTTTAAAAATATAAGTAGACTCTGTGGAGATCTTAGGAGCATGTAAAACGAGCGCACTGTTTACTTTCGATTCAATTTAGGTTCAACATGTGCACTGTGACCCGACGTTAAATGTGGAACACGTGGGCGTAAAAGTAGCGTGATTGTACAAGTCCTCTCTTGAAATGTTGCGTGTAACTCGATTTCGCCAGTGGCTAGAACTAAACACTTTGAAAGGAAATAAGTTTGAATATTTATATTACGCTTTATTTTGAGCATAAATATGCAACTACCGATCGGATTTCGAATGGTTAAACATGTGCTAAATATTCTCTCAAATTTTTCTGTTGATTATTTTAATTTTTCTTTGATAATTCGTGTATTGTCTTGAAAAAAAAGGGCATTTAACATCTGTGTTTTCAGAAACATAGAACACATACGTACCCACATTTGGATCAAGTGCCCCCGGAAGAATATTTGCTTGCAACCCCTCAAGGCACAATAAATACTAGTATAATGTTAATCTTCCGCTGTAGGCTGCCCCCTACGGCGACAGTATGAATGCGATGTGTTACTTGTAGGCGTTGTAGTACTCGTATTATTATTATCTAAGTAACCAACCTGTTAGCTGCGAACGAGGATGAAAACGATAGTGAATTTGATGACGTTCTCAGGCCAGAATATCACGTGACAATGAAACCAGCAAATCGCGTTTACCGTCACGGTCCTATCTATCATCGTTTCCATCTTACTCAGAAATAAAAATACCCAGAATTTATTCGTTTTGCAATAAATTATACTCCAGGGCAATATAAGGACATTTAATTTAAAAAGGTTGGGGGTTACCAGCCTAATTTTTGAAGAATTGATGCATTTTTTTTAACACTATGTTTTATAGGATTGTCCCAATAATGGTGATTTTGGAAAAATATTATGATAAGTTTCTCAAAAAAGTCACTGTAACACACACAATAACTGAATGCTATTTTATTGTGCCATGAAAAATAGCTCCATGTACTAGTATTTTTAAGGGGGAGTCGTCACCTGCGCATGCGTCAGATGGCCATAGCGTGTCATTGTTCACATGAGCCTTTGTGTTGTTTTCGTCGCTTGGGACTCAATTCCCACGCGTGCGCAGGTGACGACCCTTCTCAAAAATTATATGAGTAGATTTCTACTGCAATATAGAATGACGTCAGTGTCATACGTGTCCATTTTCAAAAGAGATCGTTTATATAAATGAGTCAGACTGTCTCTGGTGGGCATAAATCAATTTGGAATGATGCAGTCAGGAAAGAAGTAAAATATAGCATCGTTATTTTCGATGCACTATTTATTCAGTACACTGAACAACGGATAATGTAGCGTGTATGTAGTTGCGCAAAGATTGGAAAAAAACAGTTATAGTCATAATTATTGATAAGGGTTACAATGATGATTTTTCTACTTTTAAATATTTTATTATTATCAACTTCAACTTCCAGTTGTCATACTTTCGAGAGAAAAAATAAGTTCCTATAAGTTGAATTTTTGCGATGTTGCGTTACGTTGCGTTGCATTGCATTGCGTTGCATTGCGTTGCCCACAATAACTGTCACTGTGAGTTATGAAATGTCCAGTGGGAGTGATGCCGTAGAATGGCACAGCAATCAAGGATTTAATAGCGGAGGCTGATAAAAGCAATAAAGGTAACCTACATGCAATTGACAACAAACCTGTCCATCACCCATCAACAAGGATTTGTTGTTTACTCCGTCTATACTCACAAGGATTTTTGAATCATGGTGATCCGTCGTGACTGAAATAAAATCGACTTTGGTATTCAAATATCATTCAAGAAAAACAACTATTTTAATTGGTTGACATTGAAATGTAATATCCCATATAAAAAAATACAACGATACAATATAGAACGATACATTTCATAATTAACATAATAATCCAAAGTTGAAACTTTCGCATAAACGCATATAAATGAAATGTACAGAACTCTAAAAACAATTAAAACATAAGATAATTAAAATGGCATTTAAAGCCAAGATATGTACAGAAATAAAATACACGAATATAGTGATGTATTTGAAAGTGTGCAATTATCAAATTATCAGTATGTATATAACTATTCCGAAAGACATTTAGGAAGGTTCATATTATTAATGACGGCTATATTTATTTGTATTTCTTTTTTGAATGCGGTAAAATGCGGTATTACTCATCTATCGTTCTCATGTATTTAATATTAGTTATCATACTGTAATGTAATTTTCTGATGATATGCATTTTAGCACATAACATAACAAAATATTGACAAAATATCGACATTACTGTTATCAGAATATGTTCCAGGTCAGCCATAAAGCTAATAGTGTCATCTGAGAGAGCAAGTTTAAGTGTTTAAGTCCAAAACGTCGTAGCGGTTTATCTGAAATATCGATATTCCGCACGCGAAGTGAGGGTGGTGGTCGTCACGCCACGCTTGCGTAAGATATGGGTCTCGTATACAAAATATGGCGATTTTGACTGTTGTGCTCAGCCGTTACCAACGTGACGGTATTGGAACGTATTGAAGGAGTCACCGGCAGTATTTAGTGCAAGTTTTACACAGGTCAAACCTCGTACTCGTGATTTTATTCGAAGAGCGATTGGATTGTGAGAAAATCAATGTTTATCAAGTTGAACGCAAATGTCGCACATGCTCGGCGCGGCGACCACCGCCATTTAAGTCACGTGATGGAGTTGGACAAGTAAGAAAGAAATACGAATCGACAACTACTCTGATTGGCTACACTCAAACCGGGGTAAGCTGAAAAAATAGACAATGTATGGGCACGAAACGTCTTACCCAACCAGACTCGAGAACAATAGTTAAACAGCAGAATTCGCACATACGCAGTAACGACGACGGTGTATCTTTAATGTAACAGCCTTATTCATGACTTTGAGAAAAATATTCATAAATAGCATATTAATTGGTTTACTATGTACTGCAATCACGGAGTATAGTTTCATTTTTTAACAAAAAAGTGCCAAAATATTAATTTTAGAACATGTTCATGGAACACAATATTTCATTGCGTCTTGTAAAACCAAACGTTAAAATAATAAGTCTATATAATATCACAATTATTAAAAATGCAATTGAATATCTTATACAGAACATATTTCCGAATAATGCAGAATGAAAATGCTCAAATCGTGAATGGCGCCCCCTTTCGAGTAGTGGGTGTCACCCGTCATGACGTCAGTCCTGCTCACGTGGTCATTTGTGCGAGTTTTTGAATACTCTGCCAAATATTGACATTTTTCGCCTGTTTTTGTATAATGTTACTTCTTGGTAAAGTTTGCATAGAGCATCACAAATACTTTGATAATCTTCTGCCGCAGATACTTCAAAAAAGGAACATCCGAGTTCGGAGGCAAGTGCTCTTCCTGCAAAGTAAAATATGAATGAATTATTATTGCATTTAAAGACATAGAAACCATATATATTGCTTGTGGTGTGATGTTTAATAGTTAGATTGTCCACTCATAATCAAGGACATTCTGAGTTCAATTCCCGTGTGCGGCTAGCCAATCAGCAGTGAGAATGTGATATATTCTGCGATCCTGTAACTGGCCCAGGGTCTCGCGACAATTGGTGGGATGTAATAAACATTAACGCGACTTCTAAATTGACGAGATGTGGTAATCGTTACGTAAGTTGAAGGCAATTGCTAAGACGTAGAATCATTATAGAGATTTGACGAGAATTGCCGAGACGTTGAAACCATTAATGAGAATAATTAGCATTTTTAACGGGGTATCCCGGGACTTTTGTGGCGTGCTAATTGCTGTCGCTGCACTACAGTGAATTTTTCATATCTGGCTGCAAGTTGATCCAAGTTGATATAATGTACAGAGACCAGGATTTACCGTAATATTGCTCTTTGCTTCAGTCGTTTGATGCAGAGCTCTGAGCTTGAGTGTTTTCTGTATATAGGGCGCCTTGAGATTGATTTGTTTTTACAGAATATCTGACAACTGACAGCTTTTGGTACGTACCGTTCTCTGTGCTGATTTTTCTAAAGTGAGAGAGATCTTGCTTATTTCCCACAAGAATGAACTCACAGACTAAGTTTTTTCGACACTCTCTTATTTTATGCGCCCAAGTCCGTAACGTCCAGAAACTTGACAAATCTGTAATAGAGTATACCAAGCATACTCCGTCAGCCCAGCGTATGACGTCATTGGATAGGTCGTTCTGAGAAATGGAAATATATATGTTAAATACCTCGGGAGTCATGTCAGTCAGTCAGTCAGTCAGTCAGTCAGTCCGCCAGTATGTCCGTCCGTCCGTCCGTCCGTCCACACGCTTGTTGCGTGTCATATCATAGTCATAAAACGGGGCGGCGAATCTGCAATTTGTTATCAGATGAATCAAACTGGAATATGGTGATATCGATTCCAATTTACTGCAGTGAAACTGCAATAACAAACAACTTATTCAAATTAATTGTCGTTAACAACATCTGAGATTCAATAAAATGAAGTTTAGCGATACAGTAAGCGCACAGCGATGAACACAACACAATGCTTACCTCACTTCTAGCATCGAGTACCTCTAAGTGCACAATTTCATCTCGTAGTGACATCATGTGACGATATTTGTAATCTGAAAATGAAGGCCATGTTGCCATGGATACAGTAAGTTAATTTTTTTTAAATGATGGGCGGCAAACTTTGAAGTAGGTGCAGTTCTCATACGGTAACCATATTACAACACTATGCGTGGTGCTATGGAAGCCCTCTATTAATTCCGCGTTTGAATACTGGAATGGCAACTCTCCCGGAAGTCGAAGATACGGCGTTGCACAAGCGCGCGCATGCCGTTTTGGGGTGTAACTCAAACTTGCACGCATGATATTGTGCTTCTGTCTGTAACAATAAAATTGCCTTCTATCGACTATAAACAAACTGACACGTTTGTTTTTTTCAGCCATGACAAAGCAGGAGTATTTTTGCACCCCATTCTCGCTACTTCCGGGAAAGTCGTCTATGGACTGAAGAATTGGCGTCCAACAAAACCGAAATTCCAAATAGGTGTATAATGCAGAAAAAAAGAAGGTGCGAATACATAAATTGTCGCTATACAGATGAATACAGGTGAATATGCTACTTGTATAAACCCAATCGCCCTAGTTTTCAAATGGATGTTGAATATCTAATCAATTAGTTTATCTGTGATCAACTACGAGGGCGTTGCAAGGGAGAGTTGTCTGAAGCCAGTTCTCAGTGGAGTATTATACCGACTGGACAAGAATTTCGAATTCTCAGACACACAAACTCGTCAATTTTATCTTTATTTCAAGATACCAAATAAATATAATACAATCTTGGTTTGATTGCAGTCATCGAAAATTATGACTCTTCCGTTGGTTGTAAAAATTACGCTTTTTCTGTGAATCGCGACCTCTAGCGACAAAGCGCTTCCGCGATGTCAAAATGAGGTAGTTGGGTGTGAACAATGTCATTCAAATCGAAAGCCGTAGCCGCTCGCCGTTCACAATATAGCAACACTATTATAAAAATCAGTATCTTTTTGTTGACAGACTACCACAAACTAACGACGCTATGAATGGCGTCCCATATACGACTTTCCCGGAAGTCGACGAAACGGGGCTTCGCATGCGCGCGCATGCCGTTTTGGGATGTAACGCGTGATAATGTGTTTCAAGGTGTACCAATCAACGTCACAAAAAAAAATGTCTTCTATCGACTATCAGAAAACTTACATGTTTGTTTTTTCAGGCATGAAAAAGGAGAATTTTTGCACTCCAGTCTCGCTACTACCGGGAAAGTTTGCGCTAGAGGGCGTGCTTCACAAAGAAGTCCAATGTCAGCCACAAGACTGCGTATGTAACGTACCTGCTGAGTTTTCATATTCACCAATAAATCTCCGTGTCAGAAATCTAACGGTTAAAGCTGCAAAATAAAAAAAGT